TATCTTCCACTTCATTCAGGCTGTTTTGCAAGCTTTCAATGGAATGTTTAATTTCCTGGATATCTGTTTGCATCTGTTTCATACCTTCTAGTTCTTTTCTATATTGTTCCCTGAAGGTTTCCATGAGTTCTCTATGCTCTTCTATTGTCTTGTCTATGTCATCTTTGGATATGCTGAACATTTCTTTCATTATTGTTGTCATTTCTTTTTTCACCTGAGACATTATTTCTGATCTGTTGTCTTCTATGGCCTGATGGAGTTGTTTCTTTACCTCAGTTGCTATCATTTCAGTGTATGACTTCCAGGCTCTTCTGTGTTGATGCCTCTTGGACTTGTTTTGGGTGATGTGGAGGTCTGGGATTGCATTTTACTACTTTGTTTTGTCATTTTTGAAGATCCAGAGTCTCCCTGGAGTGCAGCCTCACTGTCCTGATTGCGTGAGTGGCAGGGTGAGAGTCTGAAGATCCCCAGTGCTCAGTGTAGCTCCTGTGCTGGTGAGTGGTGGCAAGGTGGGGTCCCAGGTGCTCCTGACCTTTCTTGCATTCAGTTTGCTCCCAGGCATGTGTGGGAAGGGCGGGGGAGCCTCGCTGGTGTTCCTGAGACTGTCTGGGGTTTGGCCCAGCTTCCACAAGAGTAGGGAAGATGTAGGTCATGTTCACTGAGGCTTCAGATTTGCCCAGGACAGAGCTTGCTACCCACACAGGCTTCCTGAAGATGTCTGGGGCTCAGCCCATGCCGGGCTGACACACTATGGGTGTGGTGGGTAGCCACTGAGGCCCCAGAGGGTGCTCGAGGTTTCGCCTGCCTTGCATGCTGGTCAGGGAGGCAAAGCTGAGACTCCCACATGGTCTATTTTAACACAGAACCTATGGTACATACTACAATTTCTTTTTAGTGGCTTAATACGCTGTGACACATAGCTTTTATGTCATTTCATTTATAGCTTGTCTCTCTAGTCAGAAACTCTTCCCAAGCTACAGTTTGGTTACATTTAACTTCCCTTGCCACTTAGCACAAATATGACTATGTTTTAAATATCTAAGTTTAGTTAAAATTATAGAGCACTTGGATTAATAAGTGCTTTTGCATATCTAATCTTATTTGATTTTCAAAACAACATTTGGAGGTGGAGTTTACTGTTATCAGCACTTTATAAATGGTCAATATGTGGCTCAGAGGAGTTCACTGGTTTCCTTGAGCTCATACAGCAGAGAATTGCCAGAGAGCTCAAATGATCCAAACATCAGTGAGAAGTCATGCTTTCCAAATCACTAGTTACCATGTTTGACTGTCCCCAAAGTTCCCGGGTTGGACACTTAATCCCTATGTGTTCATGTAATAAAAGGTAGTGCTTTAAGAGGTGATTAGGTTGCAAGAACTCTGCCTTCATGGTGTTATTGTAAGACTGGATTAGTTATCTCAGGAGTAGTTCCTGATAAAAGGATAAGTTTGACCACATCCTTTTCTCCTCACCCCTCATCTCTGTGTACATACAACGCATATGCTTTTTTGCCCTCTGCCTTCTACCATGCAAAAATGTAGTAAGAAGTCTCTTGGGAGATGCAGTCTCCTCAACCTCGAACTTCCCTGCCTGAAGAACTGTATGAAATTAATCTCTGTTCTGTATAAGTTAGCCAGGGTCACGTTTGCTAAGACAGCAGCTGGAACCAGACAAAAACACTGGTCCCTTAGACTAATTCTTGCTCACCCTGCTGTACCCCACCTGACCCCCTCCAAATCAGAGGGAAGCCAGGATTCTGTTTTTCTGGGGTTTTGTTGTAAATGTTACCCAGGAGATTCTTGGGCATCCAGCCCTCTCATATCCAAGAATAAGGATTTAGGAACTACTCGGGTAAGGCACGTGGAGGGCAGCTCCTCTTGCTGCCCCTGTGATGAGGTTTTGTAGGGCAAGGCATTCTCATAGCGGGGGTTTCCCATCTGCTTCTTTTCTCTGGGTGCTCTTTACTCCCATTTTACCTTGTCTGAAAAGAGAAAGGGGTACACAAATTGTTAAATATACATGAATGAACCCCAGTAATTGTATCTCTTGTGGTTGTTACTCCAAAAATCCAGTGATAATAGTTGAAAACTTTAAGCCCTCATCCACCCAGAATGCCCCACACCCATTAAAAGCAGCATTATTAAAAACAGCAGCTACTGGGCGTGCTTAGAAATGATTCTTCTCAAGTAAATAACTTGGAATGTTTTTATTTTAGAATATCAAAGGGAGTCTGGACCACATTATGGCTAATTGACTACATATTTCCACGAGCAGAAATGAAGCTGTATTTTAGTTATAAGGATACCAACCACAACGTCTTTAATGCTGGTTACCAGCTTTTTAAAAAGAGGAGAGAGAAAGAGCAAGAAAAAGTGAATTGCACAGTAACTTTTAGCCTGACTTAAACCTTAGCTTCAATTCTAGAACAAGGCGGCTGCAGCACAGACATTTTGGCCTGATTACAGTAATTTCAACCAAGTGCTGCAGCCAGAGTTTGTAAAAATGTATTCTGATAAAGAAACATTCGTATGGGTGGTTCTTCCTCTCCCTCTCCTCCCTCTCCCTCTCCCCCTGGTTGGTCTCCCTGTCTCCCTCCCTCGCCCTCCTTGTGCCTTGCCTTCTCTCACTTCCTCCCTCTTTCTTTTCCCTGATGGGAGGTGGTTAAAGCAGCATGCTTGCTAGAAACAATGACTTCTGAAAGCTGAGCATACTTGAGCTGCCAAGCCATTTCTAAAGTTTAAAAGCACTTATGGCAAAGTCGATCTGACTCTTCATGATTTGTTTAATCATTTTGTGCCACACAGTAATTAGGGTTAATAAGCATTACTTGCTTTACAAGCTAACCAGCCATTTCTGGGCTTAGCTAGGGGAGGGAAGCCTGAGGGAGAGATGGAGTTCACAGCTCCTTGGACCTCAAGGGCGGGGCTACGAGCAAAGCCACACCTAGCACCCCACACTCCTGGGGCTGGTCTCCTCCATGTTTATTTTTCTTGTGAGTAAATTGCTCAACTGGGGACTTCTAAAACTCTCAGCTGTGGGTGGCCTGGATTAAATTCTCCAGGAAGTAAAGAAGAGAGAAAAATCTTGATTATCCAGAACCCTTGGATGATTAGTCTTTCTGTGCAGTGGAAATTTCCCAGATAACTAAATATGTTTTTCTTTAAGCCCTAAACATTTACTTTTAACCATTTCAAATGGAAATCTAAATCAAACATATTATACTCTTCCCTTGGTTCTTAAACAATGGACATAACTTAAAAACTTCTACACTGAGTCATTAAAATGATAGTTTAGGACACTGACTTGTAATAGAAAAATTACCTTGGAGGTTGCTGAGACATGTAAGATAATTTATTTTTACAATATAATAGCCCAGATTTTTATATATGTAATACTTGCAGTGGTTTTAAATTAATTTTTTCTGAAAATTTCCCTCTGTTGTCCATGTACCTGCCACCAGCAATTCTATTTCCCTCTTCTAAACTGCTATATTCGTGGAAATGAGAGTAACAAGGCTGTCCATAAGGAGTATAAAGGCAAACAGACCCTGAGGGTGCACATAGCAGCAAGCAGATAGGGCTATTGTATCTTCTCCCCAGTTCTCTTATTCTTGCCAACTGTCTGTATGGTGAGGTTATCAGAAAGCTAAATTCTGGAAAGGTAAGAGATAACCGCTGCTGTGAGGAGGAGGATAATAGAAAACTTAGGAAGGGTAGGGATGGAGCTTAGTGGTGGAGCACTTGACTACCCTGTGCTAGGCCGTGGGTTCAATCGTCAGCACCAGAAAAACAACAAACAAAAACTCAAGAAGAATAAGGTGAAGTACAAATCACCCGTCAAAGAATTTATAATATACCAATATACTTTTTCTAATGACAAAAGCATACCTGCCAGTGTTTAAAATAGCCAAATCTTACAGGTATCTATGATGTGGAAAAGACACATTCTCCGCTCCCTGATCCTAAATCACTACTTGTGAAAAGTACCTCAGTGTTTTCTCTATCTACATATAAGCACATTATTATGGCTTTTAAAAACGTTAAGCTTGGGATCTCCCAGTGCCTTTCAACATAGTCTTTCAACTTCCTAGTTTACTTTAAATTTCTCAAAAGTTAGCTCATTTTCAGTTACTTCACTGCTTTTAACTACATCTTAGTATATCCATTAAAAAGCATCATACTTTATTTAAACAGTTCTCTGGATATTCAGATAATATCCAGTTTTTCAACAAAACTGAAGTGAACACCTTTGAATATGTATAATTGAATGAGTGGTTGGGTGGAACCAAGTCTTTGATATCGACTTTGACCTTTGTACTGTATTAGTTTCCTAGAGCTTCTATAACAATTATTACAAGCTGGATGGCTTCATGAAAATTCTGTCATACTTCTGGAGGCTAGAAGTTCAAAGTCAAGGCATCCACAGGACCAGGCTTCCTCTGAAAACTTTAGGGATACCTTCTCTGACCTTTTCCTAGCTTTGGGTAGTTTGCTGGCAATTTTTGACATTCCCAACCTCAAAACTACAGTCCAATCTCTGTAACTGTGATCTCTGCTTTCAGCATCCTGTAGTGCTCTCCCTGTGTGTCTCCATCTTTACATCTGGTGAGGATAGCAGAGACCTTAGATTAGAGGCCTACCTCATTCCAATGTGACTTCATCTTAACTAATTACATTTGCAAAAGCCTTATTTCCAAATAAGGTTACAGTCAGACACACCGGGAGTTAGCATTTTAATGTATCTTGTTTTTTGTGTGAGGAGCAGGTAGAAGGACCGGGATGCGGAGGAGACAGTTTAACTCATAACAATCTTCAACTGGTAAAAGCTTTCAAAATTTTCAAAAACATGATGCCAATTTGTATTATCTTTAACAATTTATAAGAGCACCAGTGTCTTGCTTTCTCATTTATAATGGATATTATCATTTTTTTATTTCTTAATCTATTAGGCAAAAATGTATAACTCATTATTATTTTGTTTTTGCTTAATTATTAATGAAACAGACAGATTTTCTCTACTGATTTCCTCTGTGATACACTTTAGTGCCTTCTGCCCAGTTTTCTGTTGCACTGTTGATCTTTTTTCTTACTGATTTCTAGATGGATTTTGTTTATTAGAGAAAGAAGCTCTTTGCTGATATGTTCTACTTTTCTCCCAATTTATTCCTTACCTTTTTTTTTTTTTACTACACAGAAGCTTAGTATTTTATGCAATTACCTTTCTCTTTTTAGATACCAGGAATTTTCATTCTTAGGCTCTACTCACTACAAGGTTGTAAAAATATACACTCACATTTTCCTCTAATGAAATTACAACTTGATTTATATACTTACTTTTTGCTCTTCTGGACATGTATTTTAGTGTAAAGAATAAGATGACAGTTCAGTATTCTTATTTTTTCCAGTGGCTATTAGTTTTCACAGAACCATCTTCCGAGTTATTTTCCCCACACCTTGGAAATGATGCCTACACTGCCTGCTGCGTCATGTGTAAGTTGCTACCTGTTTGGAAGTCTGGGCCACCTCTTCTGTTGCATCAGCTAATCAGAGTCTTGCTGAACTTGAACCATAGTGTTACAGTTACTATAATTTTATACACTACCCTAATATCTATTGGGACTTGTTTTCCTCCTGTACTTTTCATCGTATTCCTATTTTCACAGGTTTATTCCTCTAAGTTAAGTCTAAATATTGTCAAGTTCTTCAAACAGTTATCTCAGAATTTGAACTGGATGATATTAAACCCATAATGAAGACAAGCATTGGTGGGTCAGTGGTAGAACTCTCGCCTGCCATAATGAAGACAAAATCGTCACTTTATATTATTTTACTAAAAAATTAAACTTTCCAGGAATTTGAATGTCTTACATTTCTCAATACTACACCTTCTCCTTCACATGGTACAAGTTATATATAGTCTTATTAACTTATTATTATTTCATTATTTTCTTTTTAATTTTATTTCTAGAGATAAAAGAACCAAAACATATTAACAAACACACAGACATAAATAAAACAACATAAAAACAACACAGAATTTCAGACAAGGTGACAAGAAATTAACAATGGTTGCTTCATTACCTACTGTTAGCTTCATATTGGTTGCTCAGATAAATTCAGACATGCAAGAATGATCAAACAATTAAATATCAACTGTTCCTTTCAAGAAAGCAATAGAAATTAATAGTAAAATTATCCCAGCCATCTTGTGTATGTGTGTGTGTGTGTGTGTGTGTGTGTGTGTGTGGTGTGTGTTTCTTTCCCTTTCTCACTATCTATTGTACCTTTTAGATTTCATTTACTATTTCAGGTTCTTGTACTAGGGAGACAATATAATGTTTACACATGTGAGACTTATTTATTTCACTTATGAGTATGGTCTTCAGTGGCATCCATTTACCGATAAAAGCCTTGAGTCTATCTTTCTTTATACCTGAGTAATACTCCATTATATAAAAATATCACAGCTTTTTTTATCCATTCCTCAGTTGATGGGCATTTGGGTTGTTTCAATGATTTAGCTATTACAAATTGTGCTGCTATAAACATGGGTGCACATATATCATTATGGTATGGTGTTTTTAGTTCTTCTGGAAAAATACCCAGAAGAAGAATAGCTGGGTTGAATAAGACCTCTAACCCTAGTTTACTGAGGACTCTCCAGACTGATTTCCACAATGGTTGCACCAGTCTAGACTTCCACCAACAGTGGAGAAGGGTTCATTTTTCCCCACAGCCTCTCCAGCATTTGTTGTTGGTTGATTTTTTTGATGGTAGCCATTCTTTATAGAGTAAGATGAAATCTCAGTGTTGTTTTAATTTGCATTTGTTGAATGACTAATGATGTTGAACATTTTTTCATCTATTTATTTGCCATTTGTATTTCTTTATCTAAGAAGTGCATATTCCTCTCAAATGCCCATTTTTGGATTGGGTCTTTCAATTTGGGGGAATTTTCTGATTTTTTAAAATTCTCTAATAT